TCGCCTTTATAATTATCATTGGGCCTAGATCCCGTTTACTAGTATTGTGCGAATTAAAATAAACCAACCAACCAACTCCCCCACCGCGTCAAGCACCCGATGCCATTCTCCGCAGCTTCCCGTACTGTGCAATCCAGCTGTGGAATTCCCTGCCGCCAACTTTTCTAGACTCCGCCCCAACTCTCAAAAATCTTCAAAAGTTCAAATGCAACGTCAACGAATACCTCCGCCGAGAGGATTTGCGATGGTGACAGGCGTGTGCGCCGGTGCCTTTCAAGGGGGGTTTCGGGGGCCTCCCCGGGGAAATTTTTCAAAAAATTAAGCAAAATCCTGCATTTTGAGCGAAAAAAGGGGGTTCCGAGCACCCAGGAACCCATACGGGCACGTGCCTGATGGTCCACGGACATTCTGCCTGTCGACCCACCCACATTCTAGTGCCCCGTCAACGTCTCACAGCTCGTTTTCTTTATCCCAACTCCCATTGCTACGATGCTGCGCTGCACACTAGCTGTTAATTAACCCTTGCTTTCTTTTCATTTTGCTGACCCGTACAGCTCTATCTTTTGTTTTTGGTGCGTGTTTTTGGCCGTGATGCCGAGACCTCCGGTCGGCAGAGCCTTCAATGCCCCACCATCCCTGCTGTGTCTCGGTGCAGCCCCTGCTCAGTAGTTGTCACGTTTAAAAAATGCAGCGACAGCAAACTCGTACACCCCTTCCTGTTGTGAACCACAACTTTACACTACAACCAAGGGTTAAAGGGGAAGTTGAGGCAAAAATTAAAATTTCACCCGTTGTAGTCTTCGGGGTGCTGAGTCGAATGGTCGTGGTCCGAGGAAGCTGAGACGCTCCATTCCCACTTGAATCCCAATCGAACTCGCGCACTTCCACCGAAACTGGGTGACTGCTAGATGGGGAAATTGTATGCAAAATGTCACTAAAAGCGCCATTTCGTTCTTATAAAAGCATGGATGACCGCGATTGGCCCATATGTTGTACTCTTTTGGACGCTAAATCGATTGGTTTTGGTCCGAAAAGGCTGCGATGCAGCGTTCCTCCTTTATTCCCAATCGAACATGGTTGAACAAGCGGTCACGTGCTCCTGCGTACACCAGTCACCTGGTCACCGTGCCTGCAGGGTAAAACTTACTAGCCTGTTTGACCTTTTTTGGGTGCAGTCCTGTCACTCGAGTTGAACTCGAGTTGAACCTTGGTGTGAAAGTTGTCGCCTGCTGCTGGCGTGGTGACCAGGTGATTTGGGCACCCAGGAGCACGTGACCGCTTGTTCACCCATGTTCGATTGGGAATAAAGGAGGAACGCTGCATCGCAGCCTTTTCGGACCAAAACCAGTCGACTCAGCGTCCAAAAGAGTACAACATATAGGCCAATCGCGGTCATCCGTGCTTTTATAAGAACGAAATGGCGCTTTTAGTGACATTTTGCATACAAATCCCCGTCTAGAGCGACACCAGCAACATCTTTGCATCCTTGTACACATGATCTTATTAGACCTGGCTCCCAAACACTTTGCTAAGTATAACTGGTTTGTGTCCACCAGATCAACACGTCATTCCTTCTCATTACCCCGTGCCAATACCTCCCTGTTTTTGAAATCTCCTATCTTCTCTGCGTACACTCTCTGGTCTTCCCTGCCAACTAGCCTTAAAGTATGCACAGACATTAAGGAGTTCAAGCTTCAGCTTCTTCGTCCTAAATAATCTCACCATTTTCGTCATGCCTCCCCTTGCAGTACTCTCTTTGTTTCTCTCCTTATTATTCAGTTCGCCGTGGTTGGCTACCACCCGACTTCTCATATATATTGGCAGTCTTCTGACGAGCCAGGAGATGTTGAATTAATAATAATAATAATAATAATAATGTGTGTGAAGTGTGAGTTACGAAGTCTGAAGAAAATGTTGAACGGCCTCTGCTGGGATGACGACTACACCATAGCTCAGTGGTTAGAGCATCGCTGGCTACAAGCGAAGGTCCCTGGTTCGAGTCCTGGTGGTGGCAGTCAATTTTTTCTTCAGACTTTTCCCGTTTGTCTCTTTCCCTCAAACCAGTTAATATGTTATGACTTGGGGCTCCCCGCGTGCTAGTTTGTACGTGAAGTGTGTGGGTTACAGTGAGGGCTGCGTCCCACCCGCCTGTGTGGATTCACAGGAAGTGTGAGTTACGAAGTCTGAAGAAAATGTTGAACGGCCTCTGCTGGGATGACGACTACACCATAGCTCAGTGGTTAGAGCATCGCTGGCTACAAGCGAAGGTCCCTGGTTCGAGTCCTGGTGGTGGCAGTCAATTTTTTCTTCAGACTTTTCCCGTTTGTCTCTTTCCCTCAAACCAGTTATGTTATGACAGTCAGAAAGTGCAACAACTAGGCACAAAACTGACAGAGTACTGAGACATCACAATGTCATGCATGAGGAGTACTGTAGGAGTTTAGATTTCGGCTTGTACAATTCGTTCTCGCAAAGCTTCCCCCTTCTTAACTTATCTTTGATATTTTTGACCCACCCAAGTTGGGTGGTGTGCTGCTTTGCTGCTTCGAATTGTAGTTAGACCGCTTTGTCAAATCGCCTACTGGTCTCGTCATCGTCCAGTGACAATCGACATTCTTTGTTCCGTTGGGACTGTAGCTTGTGCTCGTTTTCGTTGCGCTTGCCTTCCCCTTTTTGGTCTTTCCATAACCTTGAACCTTCCAAGTTGGAAGGCTGTCGGTTAGCGCTACGGAGATGTGTTGAAGCTAGGTGTCAGGACGTCGAATGTCTCAGTACTCTGTCAGTTTTGTGCCAAGTTGTTGCACTTTCTGACTGTATATAGTATCTAGTTACAGTGGTGGAGAGTTACTCTTAACTCGTTTCCATATGTCCTTTTCCTTTCTACTTTTAATAATAATAATAATACAATATATGTAATAATAATAGGGTCCCTGGTTCGAGTCCTGGTGGTGACAGTCAGAATTTTTCTTCAGACTTTTCCCGTTTGTCTCTTTCCCTCAAACTACAGTGAAGAAAATAATAATAATAATATTAATAGTAGGGCGCAGTCACCCAGTTTCGGTGGAAGTGCGCGAGTTCGATTGGGATTCAAGTAGGAAGGGAGCGTCTCAGCTTTCTCGGACCAAGACCAATCGACTCAGCACCCCGAAGACTACAACTGGTGAAATTTTAATTCTTGCCTTAACTTCCCCTTTAAAAATAAGCTGTGCCAGGATCGGGAGAGGTTATGTACTCTTACCGTACACACTGATACATGTGCAGGCGCTAGGCAAGGTCTTTGTGGTCCACTTTCACGACAATACCACACACAGAAGTCTCTGCTGTGAGCACGGTGGCTCGGCAATGGCGAAGTACCGTACACACTGATACATGTGCAGGCAAGATTTCGACGAGACGGTACGCTTTCCAACGGCCAAAGAGAGTTGGAAAGCTTGTGTCTTTATGGGTAACCTGAACATTTGGGCTCATGCAAAATCGCACCGATTTTGGGATTTCCCCACAACTTTTTGCGTCCGCAAAAATGTTGTGCTGGACCGCATTCCTGTCACTTCGCAGTGGCTTTTCGTTGGTGCAGTTTGTATCCCACCCTCCCACCCCTGACTTCTGGGTGTGTGTTTATCGATATATTATGGTATTGGTTTTTCTTATTGACCATGTGGCTGTTGCAGTTACGACTGCTTTTCTTTTTTAGTTAAAAAACGTAGGGGTGGTGTGTGCGTCGTGGGCCATTGTAGGGTTACATACAGCTTCAGATTGTATGGCTAGTGACAGGGGGGTTGAGTCTGCAGGGGAAGAATACAGTGATTGAACTGAAGCTGGATGATGACCGTGTGGTGAGTGTGTGGGGGGTTCGAGATGCCGTCCTGGGGCAGGGATGTCGGTCCTTTAGCTTGGACGGGTGTTGTTACATTCATTGTAACATTTTGTCGTTTTCTGTGTGTTTTGCTGTGCGACTATAGTAGCAGCAGTGTCTTGTGCTAATTTTTCTTATGATATCAGGCCCTATGCGTACAATTATTCAAAAAAGAAAAAAAAAGAAAAAATATCAGGAAGGAGATATAATAATATCAATAATAAAGCCATTGCCGAGCCACCGTGCTCACAGCAGAGACTTCTGTGTGTGTTATTGTTGTGAAGTGGACCACAAAGACAACCAGGACTCCACAAAAGTGATACAGTGTTTAAAACACAATACACATACACGTACACGTACATGTACATGTGCATGTCACAACGTGTCTACGCCGACCATGAGATCTCGATAGAACACGGGCCTCAAATTCTGCTCAATACAAGTGCTGCTAAGGTCATCGCGATCATGCAATTGTACATGTATGTACATGTACGGCCACAACGTATCACCGTAAAAGCCCCTGTATACGCCCACTCGAAATAACGCCCACCCTCCGTGTACACGCCCAGTCAGGGGAAGACAACACTTTTGTTTCAAAATAGCGCCCATGCCCATGTATACGCCCAGGTATGCCGGAAACACCAGTACATGTACAGGTACTGACACCCAATACTTACTGCTATCCCTATTCCAAGTATACGCCCGGTTCCAAAATAACGCCCGTGCCCTTGTCTACACCCAGGAAATCGAGGCTGCTATTCTATACGCCCGGGGGCCTATACACGGGCTTTTACGGTATAACGTCAGACTCCATTACAAGTACTAGCAAGAGTATAATAAGCTCCCATAATAATAGTTTAATACTCTTGCTAGTCCATAGGATCCGCTACAGGCATCCTTTCAGTAGTAATACTACTAGTACTACTAGTAGTATTAGTATTAATAGTAATACTAATACAGGACACAGGCCTGCTTATTCTATACGACTACCTGTAGTATTAGTAATACAGGACACGTGACAGGCCTGCTTATTCTTGAAGTGGCTCGTACACCATGTTGACAATGATTATGTAGATCTTCATGACTAGCTGCATCAACTGAAGTAATAGTTACTTGAATGATTATGTTCGCAATCAAAATTGTGCCCCTCTCGATGCGCCGCGCGTCTGTCATAGAATCCTGAACGGTTCCACGCTGCCAGTTCCGAATCTATTTTCGTTTTCCGTGTTGTATCGCAGCCTCCGGCTCTTCCTGAAAAAGGCGACTTCGATCGAATCAACTTGTCTTGTACTTGCAGATCTGCATGACCATAGTGAGAGGTACAGTTGCCTACTAAACTCAATGAAACACGGACACTGCGCCTGGTTTGACATCTCAAAATCCTGCCCGTGCCGCAGAGCGACGTAATCCAGCAGCCCAGAGAAGCTTACGCTAGCAACAATCAGAGGACCTCCGCAGTGCTCCTCTCATCAAGACCGGTCGACCCTAAAAACTCGTCGATGAGTCACTTCTCTACCTTGATTTCTAATGTATGCTATTCTATGCTTGAGCATCATCGTGCCAAGTGGCTTGCTCTTGAATGGCACCCAGACGAGAGCAGGTAAACACGACCAAGTACTTATCGCCTCGATCCAGTAAAATTCTTGTGCTTTTCTGATCTGGCTTGTCGCAGTTTGTTGCCTTCCGTTCGCCACAACCAGCATGATGGCGTCGGGGAGAAAGTCAGACGTTACGCAGAAATATGGAAATGGAGACCAGAAGGAAACTCTGGTTGTCAATGTCGTGGGTATGGATTCCTCCTGGTCGGGTGGCGCTGCTAGTCCGACGGGAGCTGTCACCAGCGATAAGGCCGGCAGTTATTTGAGCGACTCGTGTTCCGCACCGAGTAGCGAGCCAGTACAAACCTCCGGCAGGGTTGGACGTTCGACGTTTATCAACACCGTTCTGACACTCGACTCGCCGCAGTCGGTCTCGTCCCACTCAGAGATTAATGGTGACCTGTCAAGTAACAGTTCGTCCACAGCGGATCAACGACGTTTGACAGAGTTTGTTGCCAATGGGCACTCGTACATGTATCATGGGTGTACGGAACGGCCGGTGATCATCAAACCAAGCAAGTCCTCACCCAGGAAGGCCAAGTCACCTGTGCGTAGATTTGTCAAGCTGCACATTATTGAACAAACCACAACGAGAGAACATCCTGCCAAGTCGGCCTCAGTGCTGACTGGAAGAGCAGCAGCTGGACAAGCCAAGGAAGGTCAGACACAAAGATCTCCCAAAGCTTGTACTAATGAGGTAGTTGGTCAGCCCCAGCCAGGTGCCAAGCCAAAACCAATGAAGAAACCAAAGCCTGTTGGATTCACAGGCTGTAGGACATTGGAAAATCAACCTACGAGTATTTCTCCTGTTGCACTGAACCAGCGTACTCTTCCAAATGAAACTTGCCAAACTCCATTACTAAGCGAGAGAGCGGCCCCTGAAACGGTAGTGGAAATGCTAAAAAATGGAACAGCCAGTGTTGGTGCCCAAATCATTGTGCTAAATGCCACTCATGACAACGCTAGCTTTCGACGCCAAGAAGAATTCGTGTTACAGCTCATGCAGGATGTTGCATGGCACAGGGATACACCGACCATACTTGTATCCACAAAGAATGATCTACTTGGAGATGAGAACACTGCATGGCAGCGAGAGGAATGGGTCAAGCAGTTTGCTGAGAAGGCGTCAGTTGAGCATTACTTCCACACTAGCTGTGAACCATACCCTGTCAATATTTGCTACGCTATTGACAGCTTGCTAGCCATTGCTATGGGAGGAGAAAAGCCAGCCGGTGAATCCAGCTTCATCTCTCTGAAGTCCAAGCATGCTGACTTCATATCAACAGCCACTGATCTCGCATCGCTGTTTGCTGCAAGCATGCCTGAGTCTTTTCTGTCCTGGAAGGCTTGGAAAGAGCTGGGAGGGAAGGATGATGCACTGTATCGGCAGCTTCTAATACTAGATGAGTACCTGGGAGAAACGTTGGCAAAGTGCCTGCACCGACATCGCATCCTCCACACAGTCCTACAGGAACACGCTGACTGTTGCTTTGCCAGTGACAAGAGCAAGGTCAGCATGATGGCCTTGTCTCTGAGTGTTGGCAAAACAACCCTGGCTGATGTGGAAAGTGACGATGAAATCGCACGTGGAAACTCTCATAACATCTGGAAGAAGCTGAGATTGTTGCCAGTGCTCATGTAAGTCCATGGTAGTTTCGGTCATCTGTGGTACAGCTACTAGTATGCTGTACTCACCGTTCAGGGCACTGCAGTGGCAGAGGTGGCAGAGGAGGCTGATTCTGATGAAGATCTACTAGATCACTGGATTTCGTGCAGGACTTCTCCCCCCCCCCCCAACCCCCACGAGTTCTGCATCTGCTGCTGGATTATTCCGGATGATAGTTATGCTTAGCTGCATCCATGAATGTGGCATGACCAGCAGTAGGGCAGTGGAACAAAAATAAAATTGTTATGTTTAGGGTAAATCTGGCGGAAAATGACAATTCAGTGTTTCAGGAATCTCTTTCATCATCACGTTTGTAGGGTGAAGCCGGGGACCGGGTACTGTAAAATTTGTAACTCAACAAATATTCGGTGCATATAAAGCATTGTGGACCATGACTAGCGCCAGACGTTAATGAAGTAACGTCTTTTGCATAGCTACGGGAATTAAATTTTTGCTGTTTGGTTTGACACTTTGGGGCCTAAAACTTGTTTTGCATGATACCATATAGTAGACACAGGAAGGAGCTGCACAGGCTGAAATTTAATGTGGCCAAAATGGATTTTGGCTCACGGAGACTGATATTAAAGCTCGCTGATATTTTAGAGGCATACAGTATATTGATGATCAAAATGAAGCTAGAAAAACTCGGATGTTGAGCCAATAGTAATAATTATGTTGCGCCAATAGTAATATGTAAAGAAAAAAGGACCATAAGTTACTAGTTAAGACTAACAGCTTCGTAGATGTGTAGATGCGTAGATCCGTAGTGTGTGTGTTGCAACTAGATGTCAGGTCGTCGAATGTCTCAATATCCTTGTCAGTTTGGTACCTTGTTGTTGCACTATCTGACTCTATATTATTTCGTTACCTTGGTGGACTGTTAGTCATAACTAGTAACTTATAGGTCCTTTTCTCTTTACAAAATGAAGCTGGGGAATTGTGTGTTGCTCCCTACGTGGGTGCTTGCGCTGTTCCTGCCGACTTGAATTCTCACTTGACTGACTAACGACTGCCATCCAGAGCACACGAGAAGTCCATCGAACCTTCCACTCGGCAAACCTGCCAGAAAGCATCACTCCGGGGTGAATTCCCTGAAACACTGTGTATTGAGCAGGGAGTGATGCTTTCTTGCAGGTTTGCCGAGTGGAAGGTTCGATGGACTTGTCGTGTGCTCTGGATGGCAGTCGTGAGTCAGTCAAGTGAGAATTCAAGTCGGCAGGAATAGCGCAAGCTCCCACGTAGGGAGCGACACACAAGTCCCCAATTATCGCCGAAGTCGCACCAACCTCTTCTTCAAAATGAAGCTTAAGTATGGAATTTTGGACTATGATTCTTCTTCTTTTTCTCTCCATAGGAAACCAGTGTCACCAGCATCGGTTTGCCTGTACCCAGTGGTGGCGTCCGTCACGCGCAACTGTGCCCCGGCAAAAGCTATGTAAGTCTGTGCAAGGTTACTTACTTTCCAAGTGACCGTATACTCTACTCACCTCACTGGCACAGCTGCCACCTGCAACCCCATCTTATCAACTGTCCGACCTTCTTTGTGCTTCCTCTTCCCTTCTCTCCCTGTACCCTCTATGTCTTCTTCACCAAGCTGGGTTTGGGTACTGTAACCCAAGTCATTCTCTGCATAATGAGGCATATGTGTAACATACACCTTATTTTCGGGAACAAACCCCCATTCTTTTTCTCGGAAAATCGGGCATAAATCATCCCTGTGGTTTGTACCCTGAATGTCTGCTTCATACGTATGTAATCAAGCACGCTCAGGACTGAGGTCATGATGGCTGAATCTTGCCCGAGTCTGTAGCCCAAGGGCCGTAGGCCCGAGGGCTGGAGGCAAGGGCAAGATTCAACCGTCATGGCATACAGAGCGTGCTTGATTTGATTTCTTACACAGCACGAAGCAACATAATTATTAGGGAAGGTCAAAGGTCGAATGGTCGAATTATTTCCAAAATAACGTCAAACCGTCCTGATGGCCTGAGTATGCCCGCGGAAGGAAGACTGCCTAATGGCCATGGCCCCGTCAACAATCATGTGTCATGTAAGAAAAACGAATCAGTACACAAGGGAATAATTCAATGCCTCCAAGAAAACTAAGGTTCACCTGGGGTTCCCGTAGTAAGACCTCGCTTATTCAGACTTGTCGGAGGGAGGGGGGGGGGGGGGGAGGGGGGAGAGAGGGGGGGGGGGGGACTGTTTTTGCATACACACAGATCATGTTCTTTTCTGCACCAGGCTCAGTGGTCTTGTTTCACTCATGAAGGTGGTACTTGCCATGACCTGAAGGATGCCTCCTGAGTGGTGCAACCATGGTTGTACCATTTGTGTTTATACCGTAGAATCCCGCGGATAAGCCCACCCGCGTATAAGCCCACCCGCGTATAAGCCCATGCCCGCGCATAAGCCCAGGGAAAGTTCGAACATCACAAGGCTTCGTAATACAAGCCCATGGGCCTAAGTCGTACCAAGAGTCCATAAATTATGGACTCTTGGTTGTACCATGTAAATGTAGGTTTTTTTGTACATTTCAACACAATCATTGGTTGTTTTTATTTGCACAGTGGCTTTAAGCAATGTATTTCTCACTTCCTTGGTACTTTTCAATAGCACAATGTTGGTGTCAGCGTATAAGCCCATGTCCGCGTATAAGCCCATGTTCTTGTATAAGCCCACCGAAATGTCCTTATGAAACAGATAAGCCCATGGGCTTATCCGCGGGATTCTATGGTATCCAGTGTGGAAACTGTCCTAACGTGAATGTGATGCCCCCAAATAACCGTCATGAGCCTAAATTTTAATTTTTCCCCCTGGAAGTGTCTCCGGCCCGGACCCCCTCTTTCTTCTTGCTTCCGTTTGGTCGCACCACTTTTTAGGACCGTGATACGCCCATGGTCCCGATATACTATGTTCTCTATCATCAGTAAAGTCTCTACTAAAGGCATGTCTCCAATCAAGCCGCCACACTAAATTGTCACCTTCCCCTCTTTGGAATTAGCACTAATATCCATGAACCTTCCAGGTTGGAAGGCCGTTGGTTAGCGCTATCAGCTGACTTTCATGCCGTGGAATGTCTCAGTACTCCTTCTCAGTCTTGTGCTAGATTGTGCACATCTGACTGTTCAAAATCTGGTTTTGTTGGTGGACTCGATCGCATAACTTGTGCCCACAATTTCCATGTTACAATTTTCGAACATTTATCTTGAACAAAATGACTTACCATTAGGTTTGGTACAAGAAGTGCACAAAATTTCACTCAAAACCAGGGATATGTGATACTGTAAAACTGGAAAATTTCGGTGGAGTTCTATTCTCGGTAACTTCGGTACACCCTATGTTTCATTGGTTCTGGTTGCTTGTACTCCATTTGAAGAGAATGCCTGAAAACTGGTTCATGAATTTCGGAGTCCTTGTTGATGATGATGATGATGATGATTTTTTTTTTTTTTTGATGATGATTAAGCCACTTCTTTGGGCAAACAAAACACAATTTCCCAAGATGAAGGAGTGGAACCCTACACAAATAATAGTTTAAATGAATCCAACGCAAAGATCGTTTTTCCATGAAATACAACAATTGAACACAATTACATGCTTAAAGGCATGAAAGCAACAAAACAGCAACAAAAGGGTAAGCGCCATACCAATCCAGCATGCACAGTCAGGACACAGCACGATACTTACCAAACTAGACCTGACTCGGCCACGGCAATCGAGACATCATGAAAACATCTCGCCGGATGGTGGTACCGTGACCGAGCCCCACGTATGCACAACACAGCAGCACGCAGCAAAGCAAAAGACAGCCGACAGCGGAGTAAACCAATGACCTGGGAATAGTGAGATCCCGATGACTCGGCCTGCATCTGGCACAGTCTCTTGAGGAACACATTGCACAGCCTCCCACAACCACCATGCACAGAGAACACGAGAGGTGTGAAAGCGGCTCTTTCTACATTGATGATGATGATGATGATGATGATGATGATGATGATGATGATGATGATGGTGAAGAAGGCTTGAGATTTGTAGTTTTCTTTCCCTGATAAACTTCGATTTTGGAGAGCCGACAGTCGTCGCAGAGCAAGGGTGTCGACGCTGCAAATAACGCAAAGCGAACATGTTTTTTTTCATTTTTCGTCCATCAGGCCCAATGGGAAGAAAAGCACTGCGCTCACTGCTCGTCGTAGCTATTTTTTAGTTTAGAACTTGACAGGGCAGGACAATGGAAACGAGGAGCAAGAAAATTGGAAAATGAATAGCAATAGCAGCTAGTGTTTTGAAATCTTTGCCATCCCCGAAACACCTGTCTGCATGCGAACAGGTCGGCAAGATGTCAAAGCTCCAAAACGCAGAGATGTGACAATCGTCAATTCGCGCAGCAGAGCAAGATGAGCAAGTTCAAAATAGAAGTCGTTCAGCCACTGCAGAGCCCAGACCGCAACATGGATGACCTCGCCTTTTCCAGCAGCATCGACGATGTGTCCTTGGTCACAAAGGAGGAAGGCAAGATCTGATTGCGGCAGTCGGGAAGTGCTGGTACGACTATGATATCCCTCGGAATGATATGTTTGGCATTGCCTGTGTTTGTTATTCCGGGGCATCCTCGAGCGAGAGCGGAGGCGGTAATGAGTACTAGTGCTGCAGCGCTACCGTGGTCTCCGCCGAGATGTTGGAGAAGGCATTCAGGTAACAGCGAAGACGATCAGGGACGCGGAGAAGCTTCTCCGTGACATACGACATCGCGTCGATCGACCTGCCACTTGGAATGGCTTCAGCGGTGATGAGTCGAGCGATGGCGACCCAGACTGAGACTCTACTCCCACTAATCGATTCTGTAGATATTGTAGATATGTCGATTGAATGTGTTGAAGTGTTTCTCTTCCAATAGAACACTTTTGTTGAGCACAGTAACTCCTTGAAAAGTCATGTCAAAAAGTCATGAAGTTTTTGTTTCCGGAGGAAGTACATGCATGACGACTGCAGTATGGAAACTGGTTTACCAAAGTTTCGCGTTACCGAGCCTTTGATTTTGGGAAATACCGAAAATATTACACCACCGAAAATTCCCAGCTTTACAGCGGAGCAAAAGAACAGCACAGCCTCCTACAAAGGCACATCTCAAATACCAGCATGGGTTGGAGGAAGGATGAAAAATGAAAGACAAGTGCCATACTGAAAAATAGAGAAGACATGGTTCGCTTCACTGTAATTTTGTTGATTATGCAATTCAGGTACTCAACCTCTAGTTCTGCACTGACACCTGGAAGTCACACAAGATACATCCACGTTGTAGAGAGAGCAAATCGCCAGAGTATGCTGGATCTCTGTGATGCAACCTCACCAGAGGCAGATGATGGTATGCAGGATGAGGAGTGTTACGAAGTCATGCAGCCATTCCATCTGGATGAACCTCAAGGACCAGCAGAACAACCAGTATCACCGCCATACCGATGTGTGCAGAAGCCAAAAGCTGGCCAGAATGGCATTGCAGCTCCAATGCTGTCGTCTAGGGACCACAGTGAGGATGGTGTTACTGATGGACTGCTCTTACGCAAGCCCCGAGCTGCTTCGGCACCCATGGTTGTCAACGCACCAGTGGCAAATAGGCAGCGGACATTTCGAACTGTACCAATCGATGAAAACAGTGGCAGTAACAGCAGCAATGATTCGGCAGCAATAGCCCGCAGAAATTTGGACAGTCAGCTTGACGATGAAGGCTATATGGAAATACCACCACAAGACAAGTCACCCAAGAAGCTGAAGGTCCAATCTAGAGGGTCACTCCCTGCCATGTTACCTGTATCACCTCGCAGGGAAAAGTTCAGGAAACACGTTGCCATGAGGAAAGCTTCAACGGCTCCGAGCCACACCTCGATGCTACCCGTACCGCCAATGGCTTCTCAGCACAGACCACAGTCTAAATTTGATACAAATGTACCAACCGGCTCTGACCGGGTACCGACAGTAGTGGGAATGGAGAAGAGCCAGGAGACCAACACCGTGTTCACGTTTGATCGGCAAATTTCACGTTCCATGGAAGACCTACGAACACTCTATGAGGAAATCCCACATGCTAAGGTCCAGGAGTGGTGCACCAGAGAGCCACAAGTCGCAGTCAGATCTCACTATCAACTACCAACTAGCTCAAATCCTGCTTCGCCCAATCTACACAAGATGTCACCATCTCAACAAGCCAATCCACTGAAACATGATTCTAAGGTAAAGTTTTCAAGGCGCTCCAAGCTGCTATTCAGAGACACGGAGATTGTGGACCATTCCAGTTCCATGCTCCGAATCAATGCGAGACATCCTGCAATCACCACGGCCTGCTTTGATGTCTATATAGCAGCGGATACCCGCAGCCTTGGCTGGCAACAAGCAATGCTTCACCTGAAAAGTATGGACAAGATGAGCTTCAAGGTGAAGCAGACAGCCAACACAATTATATCATGAGCGCCAAACGTATTCAGTTACAGCCCATCTAACTATGACCACTATGATCATGTATCTACCTTTCTGCTTGTAAGTGGATGTGTACCACAATAAATTGGTGCAGTGTATTGAATAGTTTATCAGAAATGGACCGATCCTCATGTATGTATCTTTCTGCTCGTAAGCGCGTGTGGATAGGTGCACTGTATTGAATAGTTTATCAGAAAAGTTGTCTTCTTTTTCTTACATAGTCAGGATTATTGTGGAAGTTTATCCCAATCAGAGTCGTCTATAGTCACTGTAGTCTTTGTGCTGCATCTAGTGTCCTGCTAACATTAAAGTGCTTTTTGGAAGATTAAGCCAGCAAAAACAACTGCTCATCGCTATCAAAAAAATTCTGCGACTTTTGAACGAGACATGGCTGTATTGACGAGGCTGCGTATTGCCTCACGTCCTCATGATAACCACTATACTGGCCTATTGACCATGTGGTGATCTGCTTCCCTTTCCTGTGTCCTATCTGGTATCTATACTGGGAGCGAGGGGAACATAGATGCAGCTGACGAGGTTTTGTACCATGTCAGCTAGGCACGTGGTTGTGAGATACATGTAACATACTCCTTTGAGCACCATTGCCATTCGATGCTGCATTGGCCACCAATACAGGGTATAGAGATGTAACATACTCCTTTGAGCACCATTGCCATTAGGCGCTGCATTGGCCACCAATACAGGGTATAGAGATCGACATGGTGGTAGCCTGGCGGACAACATGTCCAAAAGCTTCCGGTTGTGTTTTTCATCGTAGAGCTGTTCGTAATGTTGATGCGTTACTTCTCTTTTAATCCATAGCATTAGTGTTAGTAGGGGCAATAGCTACTGTCCATATGTGCGGTTATATCAGTGAGCCATGGATAATTCATGATTTAATGGTGTTCTTTTTGTGAATCCTTCTTCCCAGAAGCAAATGCCGGTTTTTATACATAATCATTGTGCAACTACTCAGCGTTATTTTGGAGAGGGCGGAGGGGGGGGGGGGGGGGGGGGGGGTGTTCCTCAGCTCTATCAAGTATTATGAGTTACCACCGGCACCGGGCCAAGGAGAAGACACTGAGACTGAAAAGATCCTACTGAGTGTTCACAAGACGGTTTCCACAGATGCTCTGACCTCTGATACACACCTTTTACACACTGCTTCTCTGCTCATCATTAATCTTCACACTTGGCTTTCCCCAAATCGGCCCGTTTTATTCGCCTTGTCGGCTTTTTCGCTATTAGAGCTCAAAAATACATCAGATTCGGCTGCAAAATCAGCTGACTGTTCGAGAATCGGCTGCAAAATTGGAATATAAGGCGAGACCAAAAAAAATAGAGATTCCCGGGCCCTCCCGCACCAAAATCGAGCCAAAGCCATTTTTTTTTTTGAACAGTTCATACATGACTGTACATGTACAGTACTGATCGTGTGAGTAGATCTGTGACGTGGAGTCACACAAACCCGAGCTTCTACGACTCCCTGATGAAACAGATCAGGGACATCGTTGGCCGAAATATAGAAAAACTGAACGGGGAAAACTGCGTACCTGTTGTCTGTAAAAAAATTGAATAAAAATTACCGGAAAATGCGGTAAAAAAAGTTCAACATGGTATGCACACATATAGTCATGTACATACATAGGAAAAAAATAGAAAATAAAATTCGCCCGCCCGCACCAATTTCACATGGGTCCTGCCCGGGAATCTCGATTTTATTTTGGTCTCGCCTAATCGGCTAAAAGAATTGTTGGCATGTTGGCTTCAAAATTGGTGAGACACAGGAAGATTTGGTAGATTTTCGGCGATTCTCAAGGAAACCCTCCAAAATCGGCGAAGAGCTCAACGATTTTTTGATAAGTCTCTCGTGTTCGGCGAATTTTCGGCCGGCCGATTTGGGGATTTTACAAGTAACGATTTTCCTAATGGCTAATGCTTGTTTGAGAGGAGGTCAAAGGACACTAGTAACACGACCTCAACGCACTAGTACTACAAGTACTGAAGTAGAGAGCTTGAGCCGTGGTCATACTTGCAGCAACATCATTCGTTCGTAAACACACTTTGCAACAACATTTGGTAGATTTTTGGCGATTCTCAAAGGAACCCTCCAAAATCGGCGAAAGGCTTAGCGATTTTTCGATAAGTCTCGTTTTCGGCGAATTTTTCGGCCGGCCGATTTGGGGAAAGTCGAGTGATATCATGTGGCAGTGTGGACAAAATGGAACAAGTTTCTATTAAATGTTGTTCTTAAGCGGGATTCACAGAATCTTTTTTGCGATGCGACACGCGATGCGACAGGCGCGAAACCGGGAAAACCCCAAATCGTAGCCATGTCGCACCCCACGCAACTGCCGCAACTGGGCCATCGATCGAAGGCCATCGCAGAAGTTGAGCTTGGCTCAACTTTTGCGATGCGATGCGATGTGACAAGCGATTTGGAGTACGATTTTGACCTTTTCTACAGCAAAGTTGTACAAAGGTTCAAGAGTTGCCTATAAATTTGTACAAGTAATTAGTTGTATCAAACCGCGCGAATATCATGGTGACGTAGCCAAATCAGCAAAATGTTGTCGCATCACTGACTTCTTCTGTGAATGGTATTTCGCGAGTTCGCATCGCACGCGTCCGTCGCAGATTGCGTCGCATCGCGTGTCGCATCGCAAAAAAGCTTCTGTGAATCCCGCTTTACTCCGAGTTTCACGCTAAACGGCATTTTTTCGTGTTCCTTGGATTGTTACCGTATTATCTCTAATTATAAGCACAGTCTCCAATAATAGCACGTCTCCAATAATAGAACACCTTGGGACGGCATTCAAAAAATAAAGTGCTCAGTCTCCATTATAAGCACACTGTGTAAATTCATTATCTGTACCGGCGAAAACCCCCTGAAATGTGCATATCTGACATGAATTTGGCATGGCAACATGCCTCTGAAATGAGGTTGAAATAATAATGGAACAGTCTCCAATAAAGGAACGTCTCCATTAATAGCACGGGGCGGAGGAACATTGAAAAAATAAAGGACCGTGCTTATATTAGAGATAATACGGTATCATTCGTAAGTTGAGCCGCGATCTCGTCCAAAGCGCGCAGTGCGACTTGAGTATCAAGAATTGAAACTTTTCGTCACGTTGACTTGCTCAAATAATAATTCATGATTAGCAGGGGCTTCATGAATCCACTTGTGATATTCTCAAGATTACACAGCAAAACGCTGCGATCTAGAAAAAATAATAAAATCGCTGGAGCAGGACGCGTTTGGGCCTTTGCCAAGCCACAGCTCTGCTGGATATACACACTGTACATGACTGTACAGTGTCCTGGCTATCATCATGATCATGGTCACCTCATTCTCTTCCTCTCCCGGATATTCTTTCCACTTCCAGGAAGCCCAAGATTATGAAGATTGGCACGGCTGTTGTGTTAGCTGCACTTGGATCGCGGCAACTACTAGTTTTCTGCACGTGAACCATGCAAAATCAATGCATGCTCATGCATAACAACCAGTCAGCTGGTAGGCCTCCGCGGAATGTGCCGGCATAATTTCGGGAATTATCGGTGTGATTTTTAAAACGGGGATTATTGGCAATTTTTGTGGAATAATCGGTAAAATTTGAGCAATGCCCCCCTTTTTTCATTTTTTTCCATTTTTAACACCCTGATTTGTACCAAAAAGCTTGTGATCCTGAAGTAAGTTTCTCGCTTCCGTTACCTTGTATTGGCACATTTAGGGTACCCTGTAAGAAGGCCTTAGGCCTGTGGGGATTGCCCTATCAAAATTTTAATAATAATAATAATAATAATAATAAGTTGATCGCCCGGTATTTCAAAAAGAAAGAAAAAAAAGCTTCCAGCCGAGTTTCATGCATAATTCACGCGAACCGTGATTTTTTGCCCGTACAAGTGGCAAAAAAACCCGTACGCGGTACGGTATCTGCAAAAAAAGGGAAGAAAAAAAGCATTATTGTGAGAATTATCGGTGGAATTACGGGAATAATCGGTCGAAATTTTGAGCAATGCTCAAAGGAATTATCGGTAAAAATACGAGCATATTCCGCGGAGGCCTATGGGGCTGTTAAGTGATGACGTCACAGTTCCTTCGATACGCATAGCAACGATCCCACTGGGGACAAACAAAAGTAGCGTGGTCTCCACCGAACCAGTTGTCAGTGGCAACATATAGGAATCGTGTACATTTCTTCGTTTCTTCTTTGCTGTTTTCAGTGAGTGTTTTGTTTTCTCTTTGTCCTTGATCTCGACGATGTTGTCGTGCTCATTACCTTACCGAGACGTCTCTTGTGACTGTAGCCAGTGTCACGGAGGATTTTATTGGCGTGACAAGGTAGATCGCCGAGATCGAGCGTGAAAAACGCTCTGCATTAGTAGCTCCTGTAGAATGTTTTCTGGGATGGCGTATCCATGGTCAACAAAACCAAGGTGCAAGACAGCATGAGAGATTGTGTAAACGATGTGAACTCCAAAAGGTAAGCTCCTGAACAAGTGGAAAGATATAGGTATTTACAAACTCTCTCTTCATCCATCGATTGCCGCTATGCATTGCATTTTGTCTTCACAGATAATCTGGCCAAATTTATTGTAACTAGAGAGTGCAATCGTGCTTGGGGCCCATCCCAATGTCATCACATGGCTGTGGTGACTAGTGTATATCTGGGAGAATTTTTCCTCGACTGATACGGAGTGCAGGTGGATCGATTATGAGAAATGCGAACATGTGAAGTAAGTAATTATTAGTTGTGTCGAAGAAATGTGCAAGAAAATAAAATTTACTTTACACTCAAACATACACTGTAGATGTACATGTAACATCATGATAATGATTCCATCTTCATTGTCCCGCAACTGGTACACCATACGCACCGAATACATGGTGTGTGTTGCGCGCGCGCATGTCGTCAGGCGAAATAGCACGTCATCGTACATTTGAGATCAGCGGGAAGAAGATGACGACGTCCACTAATTTAGTATCTGTGCACACGAATCTGCTGTGTGTGTGACTCTGTGTGTCAGCTATGATATCATCTTCTGTGGTTCCTTGCCTAGCATGTACGTCTGAACCATCCTGCAAAGTTTGAATGACGTAGGTTGAGCGATCGCTCCGCGAAATATACTTTTTGAAATTCTCTTCATAGTATATCTTCCACCATTGAAATTTCGAATTTCTTCAAAAAAAGTGCTGAGAGGGGTGGCTTGCAACCTCGATATGGCTTGTTCCAGGCATGCTTTGGAGCCATCTTCTGTTGAAGTAGTGGCGGGGATCTGCCCTGCAACTGCTACAACAAAAAATGATTCGATCTGAGAAAGGGTGAGACCGCGAATCTCGGTTGAATATTGAGTATTTCAAGCCTTTTCACGACGAAGATGG